CCCCAAATTACCTAATCTTAGAAACCTCCATGTCTCTGTTTTTGACTGTGTCATGGAGGTCTATTCATGTCCAAATAACCTAAGTATCTCCTAAAAGCTCAGTAATTTTTAAAGAATATAGTGCACAAAAAGTTTTTAAAAATTGTAGGGCTGACATTGTGGCATGACCAGTTAAGCCACTGCTCACAATTCCAGCCTTCTGTATTGGAGTGCCCTGGTTCCCATCCAGCTTCCTGCTTTTGCATGTAGGAATCAGCAGAGTGGCTCTAATCCTCGGGCCCCTGCCAGCCATGTAAGAGGCTGGGACTGCTTCCTGACTCCTGGCTTCAGCCTGGCGCAACCTTGGCTGGTGGGGTCATTCCATTTGGGAAGTGAGCTACCAAAAAATGTTATGTCTCTGTCTCCAACTCTCGCTGTGTGTGTGTGTGTGTGTGTGTGTGTGTGTGTGTGTGTGTGTGTGTGTGTCCCTCTCTGTGTCATTCTGCCTTTCAAAATAAATGCATATATCTCTTTTAAAGTTTTTGTTATACCATCCTTAGGCAGCCCCAGCACAGCAGCATTTCACACACCTTGGGAGGAAATCAAATACTGCCACGAGAGTCTCCTGATCCAGCCAGAGTTTCAAGAACTACTACTTTTCCTTCAGAGCAACTTTCCAACACCCAGCTGTCCAGTGACAGGCCTCTTCTAATGGGGCTGGGGAGGCTCTTTTCTGCAAAGGGCCATTTGGATGTCTGAAACGTCATTCACAGGCCATGCAAAATGGTCAGCTCAAAAATTTAATCAGTGTATTAAATCTCAAGTCTCACTGTCAGTGGCCAGACCTGATTTTAGGGTCTTCTACATCCCGGGCTGGACAGTCCCACTCCTGCAGGCCATGTGGTACACTATGAGATGGAAATAAGCAACTTCCCTGAGCTAGTGCATGGCACAGTGCCCGAGAGATGTACAATAATTGTTTCTCTCCACACCTGCCCCATGGTCCCTTGTGAGTTGGCTGTGCTCCCTTGCTCCTCAAGGATGCTGTGCACTGTTTAAAACAAGGGGATTAAGACCAGGAAACCAAGCATGTTGAATTCACTGTGGTAAACTTGCTTGTCATGACCCAGCACTCGTGGGTCTTAGCAATAGCTAAACCAAAAGCCCAGCACTTAAGAGCCAGTCTATTTCCTGTTACAGGCAGTTAAGAAATATTTTCAGAATTGTTTTGAAAATTCTGCAGGCCATGCCGCCAGGCCCGAAAATTCTGCAGGGCTGAGACAATGCATTGGCAGACTTCATTGTTGAAAAGTTGCTGCTAGAGTGCAAGCTGCAAGAGGCCAGGGCATGCCTTGTCCTCACCCCTTACTCTAGGCACCCGGGATATAATTGGTCTCAACAAATACTGGATGAAATAATGCAGGAAAAACACATGGACTCACTGACATTTTACATTCATGGTGTTGTAGTAGAATTTGTAGGGTTGGCTTGGGTCTCAAGCATTTCTCTGTGCTTAACTTGGCCAGTGTCCTGCAGGTGAAACCTAAGCCGTAGTGTGGTGTTTGACCTATCACACGAAGGGTGCTGGAAGTGGTTCCTTCGGTTTTTACAGGGCAGGAAAGTAGGTGATGAGAATGCAAGCTTGTAGGAAGAGAGCAGGGTTTGAACTGAGAGGACAGCCATCACCTTCAGGGTGTTCCATCAGCTTTTTCAAAAGTCATTCAGTACATGTTAGTATACAAAGCTTCTGTACGAGCTGAGAAGTGCTTCCCACAGCACATCCAACTGAGGCAGCGTTAGGATCCTGAGTGATTTGTACTTGCCCTGCATGCTCCCTCTCTCTGAAGGAGAGGTCCATGGTACAATGGCATCACACAGCAGGCATGGTTCCTTTGACCCAGGCACTGACCTGGAATCCTCTTTCGGTATGCATCCACCGAGTCTGCTTGGAGCTTCCCAGCCAGACCTGCACATCCCACTGTTCACTGCATGCCCCTGGACCACTCACGTGGCTCAGCTCTGCCCCCTTAACACACCACCTTATCTGTGCTGCTCACCTCCAGCCTGCTCGCACAGGAACATGCGCTCCAGGCAGGTGGAGATTGTCTCAGGGTAGTAGTCCCAACCCAGCATAGGCACTCAGACTAGGTAAAACAGATTTGACTTTCTTCGAATTCATTCCCGTGGCATTTCATCCTTTTTGCGTTTGGGTCAGCTGTCATCCAGCATCCTTCAGTGTGACCCGTGGTCCAGTGCTCCTGCGACCCGCTGTGTGAAGCATGGTCATCTGCTTGCCTCCCTGTCTCCCTGACATGATGCTGAGGGACATCTCTGCCTGACCAAACTCTCGTGAGGATTCGGGGAGACAACGCACACGGAGCACCTGCAATGGAGCCTGACAGACAGCAACATGTTATTTATAGTGACTTTAAAAGTTTATTTATTTATTAAAATATTTATTTTGCTAGAAAATCAGAGTTACAGAGAGAGGGGGAGAGACAGATCTTTCATCCACTGGTTCATTCCTCAAATAGCAACAAATGGCCATGCTAAGCAGATCTGAAGCAGAAAACTAGGAAATTCTTCCTAGTCTCCCACATGGGAGTCCCGAGGTCTTGGGCCATCCTCTGCTGCTTTCCCAGGCCGTAAGCAGGGAGTTGGGTCAGAAGTGGAGCAGTCAGGACTAGAACAAGCACACATATGGGATGCTAGCACTGCAGGAGGAGGGTTAGTCTACTATGCCACGGTACTAGCCCAAACCTTTATGAGAAATGCCAAGCCAGCAGAGAACAGAGGGTTCAGAGGGAGAAAGAAGAGTCTTCCATGCGCTTGTTAGTCCCCAAATGCCCTCAATATGCAGGGCTGGGATGGATCCAAGCTAGGAGACCTGAACTCCATCCAGGTTCCCATGCAGGTGGCCTTGAAGCATCAGGTGTTGCCTCCTAGAATGTGCAGGAGTGGGAAGCCGCACAGTCCTAGTCAAGACTCGAGCCACACGCCCTCAGGTGGAATGCAGTCACAGCAAGCAGTGGCTTTCCTCAGGGCAATGAACCCTTTGTGCCACACCCCGGCTACTGTGTACTTGAGCAGAGTCTGCACCTCCCCTCAGCCCTGCTGTGGGTCCCTGCTTGCTCTTCATCCGCTTCCAACCCATCCCTTCTTTCAGTTCCCACCTCTTTCTCACTGTGACGTCGACAGCACTGATTTTAAAAATCCACAGAAACCTGGGAACACATTATTGTGGGTGTTTCTGAATGAGATTAACATGGGAGACAAGCAGGTTGGGAGAGATGACCCAGCATCAGTGTCAGGAGCAGTCCACAGTCAGCTGGGCGCATGGAGAGAATTAATGCAGAGGACGAATCTATCTTTTGCTTTGAGGGCTGGGCCATGGCTCCACGCCTTCCTTAAATGTCAGCTGCTGATCCTTGAACTCCAGGATTTAAACCTGTGACTTCCCTCGGCTGGGACTCAAGCCGTCAGCCTCAAACAGTTACACCTTCAGTTTCCCTTGGACTGAGCCCGGCCACAGGCATCCCAGGGTCTCCAGCTACGGGTCTCCTGCGGATGACCCATTACGGGGTCTCTCAAACATTTATCATGACTCTGCTTTCAGACCTCCAGGGAGCTCTTTGACTATCTTGTGTCTGGACCCACTTTCATGCTTTTAGCAAAATGATTCCAAGAAGAATTTGCATGTAAACAAGAGGGGGAAATTTTTCACCATTTTATTTGGCCTTAGTCCAGTTCTATTTTATTGCTATCATTTATCATAGCACTTCCCCTGGTTCTATTTTTATCAAGTGTGCCCCCTTAATATCTGGTGGTTATACTATCACAAAGTAATTTCAAGTCTTGTAAAACAATTTGTCGGCCTTGAAACTGAGAAATTCTCTAGTATGTATATGCTGAGTTTTATCCTGAGTCCAGAGTAATAGAAAAGATCCTATTTCCTGGAAGGGCTGTGTGTCTCTTATCCGAGGCAGCGGTCTGTCCTCACTCATGCCACCAGCGCTAAGGAGCCTGCCAGAGGACGTGGCTGGAGGTGGAGGAGACAGAGTCCATGGATTAGATTTCCAGCTCCCAAAATAGCCTGTGAGTATTCCTGCCACCTCCGAATCAGGCCTCCCTGCTTCTCCCTCTGGCAGGCTGCCCCCTTCCTGGCCTGGCCCCAGAGGCTCTGATGAGCCGTGAGTGGCACTCACGTGGCAGGCCCCTAGAGAGGTTAGCGGGGCCGCTGAAGGAAGAGTGGACATGCAAAATGTAATCATCCACCTGCAAGCGATGGCATCCCAAATGGGCACCTGGTTCATGTCCGGCTGCTCCACTTCCCCATCCAATTCCCTGCCTGCGGCCTGAGAGAGCAGTGGAGGATGACCCAGATCTTTAGGATCTTGCACTCAGATGGGAAACCAGAAGAAACTCCTGGCTCCTGGTGTCAGATCCACTCAGCTGTGGCTGTTGTAGCCATTTGGGAAGTGGACCAGTGGGTGGAAGATCTTTCTCTCTCTCTCCTCTCTACAAATCTGCTTTTTCAATAAAAATAAACACTTTTAAAAATAATAGTAAAAAAATCACATCACAATAGAATTTTAGATGGAGATGGCTGCTTGTCCAGGCCTAGTAGTAGCTCAGTCTTGCTCAGTTAGCTTAAGGGATGCCTCTGAGAGATGCTGAAGACATTTCAGCCTTGGGAAACACAGCTTCGGTTTCAAACTCAGAAAAGGCAAGTAAAAACTTATTTTCTTCAAGAATGGAGTGCACTCTCTGCTAACTGCTCTCAAAAACTTTCTGCATACTTTGATACTATCATGCATAGCTTTTGGCCAACCACTGAAGCATGTTTCGGTTCCATGCCGACCCTTCTCCATTTTCCCAAAAAGAGACCTAAAGGGGTCGGTACCGAGGGCCGACTGCCTAAGAACACAAAGAGGATAGTCTTATGTTTTTCTTCTTGAAGCCCTGACAAGCCATCGTGTCCCTCCACAGGCTTGGTGAACCCTCGCCAGGCTTCTCCCGGCCACTGTGTTGATTGTGGTTGCCATGACAGCGGTGCCGTGCTCCCCGCCTGCCTTGGTGACGTCACAGACCGCCGTCCAATAGGAAGGCGGCTCTGTGTCCTCGCCCCGCCTTTCCCAGCAGGCCCCGCCTGCGCGGCCGGGAGCTCTGCGACGACGGCGCTCCGGCGGTAAGCTCCGTCCGCGGCCGCGGCGACTTCCACCGATTTCCAACCTGAGCGCCTGTGGCCGCCGAGACAGAGCCACGATGTTCAGGATGCTGAGCAGCAGCTTCGAGGACGACCCCTTCTTCTCGTGAGTGCCGGAGCTGCGGTGGCTGCCGAGGGCACAGAGCGAGGAGGGCGGGTGGGATTTGGGGGTGACCCGGAGGAGGACCGGGAGGAGGCTGTGGGGCAACGAATAGGAGGCTGTGGGGGTGACGGATAGGAGGTTGTGAGAAGGACCGGGAGGAGGTTATAGGGTGACGGATAGGAGGCTGTGGGGGTGACGGGGACTGGGGGAGGAGGCTTGGTGACTGGGGAGGCGGGGTGACCGGGAGGAGGCTGTGGGGAGCTGGAGTGACCGGGGGAGGCTGTGAGGAAGACCGGGGGGGCGGGTGACGGAGGAGGCTGGGGTGACCGGGAGGCTGGGGTGACCGGGAGCTGCGAGGTACGGAGGGTTATAGGGTGACGGATAGGAGGCTGTGGGGGAGACCAGGAGGAGGACTGGCGGGGAGGAAGGCTGTGAGGTGACCGGGAGGAGGCTGTGGGGTGACCGGGAGGAGGCTGTGGGGTGACCGGGAGGAGGCTGTGGGGTGACCGGGAGGAGGCTGTGGGGTGACCGGAAGGAGGCTGCGAGGTGACCGGGAGGAGGCTGTGGGAGATACCGGGAGGAGGCTGTGGGGTGACCGGGAGGAGGCTGCGAGGTGACCGGGAGGAGGCTGTGGGGTGGCCGGGAGGAGGCTGTGGAGTGACCGGGAGGAGGCTGTGGGGTGGCCGGGAGAGGCGGTGAGCTCACACGCCCGCGATGCTCGCGCTCCCGGCCGAGTTCCCGAGTCGGTCGGGTGCTGCAGGTGGCCGTGGCTGCCTGCCAGGATCCTCTCCACTCCCGGGATATCGGATCTCAGTGGTGTCCGATGATAGCCCCTTGTTCCAGGTGAGGGAGGGTGCGTCCTTGACAGCGCCTCACTCCCTGGTTGCTGTGATGGTCCTCACCCGCGGGGCCCTGCTGGTTTCCTTGGCTTGCTGCGTCTACAAAGTTGGCCTTGTTTGCCGTGGCCCTCTTCCGTCAGCAGCCCAGGACGGGTGCTGTAGCACCTCAAGGGAACAGGTGCAACTACCGGGAGAACAGGTCCCACCAACATCTTGTGATGCCCTGGGAACAGAAGTTAGCCTCACCCTCCTAGTTTCCTGGTGTTTTGTTTTCTTCAAAAAGCATCATCTTCTGGCTATTATATAAAGGACATGGAATAATTTAGTTGGATTCCCCAAGATAGCAAATTTTGTGAAAATTCTTTGCCAATTTGTTGTGCCAAGTTGGATTTGGATTTTTGTGTCCCAGTTTATTTCTTTTATGTAGCTTTTAACTAGCTTCTAGCAAACTCAGTATGATTTGTCAGTGCCATTCTAAGAACGTAATGGTACTCCCCAAATCTCTCCTCCATGGTTGATTTTGATCCCTTAGAATTCTGCATGCAACTTGAAGATCATTTTTTTCTCTTTTAAAAAATAGCAATTTTAAATTTTTATAGCAGAGCAAATTTTATGTATTTCGTATGTGTGGTTATAAGTGCATAATGAGATTTTCCACCATACCCTGCTTCTTTTTTAATTTTTTTGATTACATATTTTCAGCTTGCTTTATACTCATAAACTTAATCCTCCACTAATCAAACAAGTAGTAAGTGAAAAAAAAATTGTTCCTCAGGGGGTGTAGACAAAGGATAAAAACAATAGGCAAATCTCAAAATCTCGATTTCACTGATATATTTTTTGCGCCCTTTATATTAGCTATCACAAATCAGGGGAAATGTGGATTTGTCATTTTGAGACTGGCTTATTTCACTAAGCATAATGGGAGGTAAAAGTTCACTCCACAGTCTACTACAGATTTTTTTCATTGTTTTTAAGGAAAAAAAAGTTACCTTGGTTTAAATATACTAGTACCAATTCAAAAGCAAAATTTTATAATTTTCTCTTTTAAAAACCCCTGAGATGAGACTAAATATATCCAGTTGAGTTGAGGTCTTGAAGTGGTTCTTATGCAGATGTGAATGAGCATAGAGAGTAACACTTAAGACCACATGACAGAATTTTTTAATTGTGTTATCTGCTGGATTATATCAAAAGGAGCAATGGGCTTAAGTAAACTGTGAATATGTAATTAGGATCTTCTTTAAAACCTCAAGCAGAAGTGTAATTGAAACTCTGGGGTGACACTTTCTGAGTAAAGGTAGTGACCCCAAGGTCAGGGTCAGGAATAGTAACAGACCATAGTCGTAGTCACACATCAAAGTGCACTCTGCCTGGAATGTAAAAGGCCATCAGTTACATCCGTCATCACCAGCATGGCCTTCTTCAGACACGGCAGCAATGGGCACATTGGAGATGAAATGATTGCACTTGGTCATTTCTTTCTTCACAATTAATTATAAATAAAGACTTGGGGGTACAGGAGAAAGAGTGTGGGTTTATACCCATTTTAGGTAATTTGTCACTTTTTTTTAACCCCAACTCCAAACAAAACAAGTATCCCTTATTTAATTGAATTGAAACATAGGGGATTCATAAAAATGACAAACTAAATTATCCGTACCGCTTGGGGATGCAGAAGGGAGGTGGGACACGTAGCCCATGCCTGCCGCCATCTTTTATGTAAACATTGTTCCTGTTGGCTTCCGCAGTGGGTAGTTACATGGAAAGAATTCAGTAAATATTTTTCTTAATAATGATCTGGCATGCTTTATGACTTGTAGTTAAGTCACCATTGAGTTGATTGCGTTCAGAAAATGTTATTGTTGATGTTGACATTTAAGATTTATTTTTCGTTGGAAAGGCAGCATTACGGAGAAAAGGATAGAAAGAGATCTTACATTGTGTGCAGGGGCCCAAGCGCTTAGGCCATTCTACACTGCTTTCCCAGTCCAGAAGCAGGGAGGTGGATTAAAAGTCAAGTGGAGCTGCTGGAACTCAAACCTATGCCCATAGAGGGATTCCCACACTGTAGGCAGAGGATTAGCCTAGCACACTGCCACACCAGCCCCAATGTTGACATGTTCTGATTACAACATTGCTGCTTTCTAACAAATCCGTGAGTTCACAATCAAGCATAATCATTATAGGTTCACTGTACTCTTACCGGTTATTCAAAAGTTGATAGACAAATATAATTTGGGGGATTTAAATTTAGAAATATTGAGACTGATAATCCTTACTCAATTTGTGAAATGCTTAAGAATGTTGAGTTAACAATTATTAAAATTTATAGAATTCAGAGAACTGTTATATTTTCCTAACAGTGTATGTTGAAATGTTTCATTGAAAAACTAAAGATACTTTAAAAATTATACTTGAAAATTTATGTGTTCATGTTTGATATATTTTTTTTTAATTGGCATCATCTCTCTAAGCTGAGGTTGTTTCTGTGAAAAAATTCGCATTACGTATTTAGACATACCTTCTTGAGTAATGCTTGGTTAAAAATAAAGCTAAAGTGGGTACCTTCTGGGCCTAGTGCAATGGCTCATTTAGCTCATCCTCTCTTTACTAGCACCAAGATTCCATATGAGTGCTGGTTCCGTGTCCCAGCTGCTCCATTTCCCATTCAGGTTCCTGCTTGTGGCCTGGGAAAGCAGTGAAGGATGGTCCAAAGCCTTGGGACCCAGCACCTGTGTGGGGGACCAGTAAGAAGCTCCCGGCTCCTGGCTTTGACTCAGCTCTGCTCTGGCTGTTGCTGCTATTTCGGGAGTGAACCAGTGGATGGGGAGATCTTTCTGTCTCTCCTTCTCTTTGTAAATCTGCCTTTCCAGTAAAAATAGATACATCTTTAACAGAAAATAGAAGAGTTGACACCTCCTGGCATGTGGTTTTCTGAAGAATACTTCTTCTCAGCCTGGCACGGTAGCCTAGTGGCTAAAGTCCTTGCCTTGCATATGCCAGGATCCCATATAGGTACCAGTTTGTGTCCTAGCCTCCCCACTTTCCATCCAACTCCCTGCGTATGGCCTGGAAAAACAGTAGAGGATGACCCAAAGCCTTGGGAACCTGTGCCCACCTGGGAGATCCGGAAGAAGCTCCTGGCTCCTGGCTTGGATCTGCCCAGCTCTGGCCATTGCAGCCACTTGGGGAGTAAATCAGTGGACAGAGGATCCTCCTCTCTGTCTCTCCTCCTCTGTATATCTGACTTTCCAAGAAAAATAAATAAATCTTTTTAAAAAAAATACTTTCTCACACTTGGATCTGTTTAAGAATATATACATATATATATGAGATTGGTCCTACAGCACAGCAGTTAAAATGCCACTTAGGACACCTAAATAGCATATTACAGTGGCTGAGTTCCAGTCCTGACTTGGCTCCCAATTCCAGCTTCCCGCTAATCTGTGCTGTGGGAGGCAGCAGGTGGCAGCTTAAGTCGTTGAGTCTCTGCCAGCTACATGATTGAGGTCCTGGCTGCAGCCTTGGCCCAACCACATCTATTTCTAGCTTCCAGGAGTGAACCAGCAAATTGGAGATCTGTGTATGTGCCTGTATATGGGCACCTGTGCATGAGGCACCTCTCTGCCTCATATACCTAAAATAAAAATTAATATGGAATATGTAGTTAAATATGTGTGTATAGACATGACAGTTGAAGTTAAAATGATTTTGATATACATAAAGAATATCAAATTTTTAGTAGAAGAACTTAAATATGTGTAGTGATTCAGAATTTTCTTTTTTTTTTTTGTAAAGATTTATTTTTATTACTTTTTATTGGAAAGGTGGATATACAGAGAGGAGAGACAGAGAGGAAGATCTTCCGTCCAATGATTCACTCCCCAAGTGAGCGCAACGGCCGATGCTATGCCGATCCGAAGCCAGGAGCCTCTTGTGAGTCTCCCACGCGGGTGCAGGGTCCCAAAGCTTTGGGCCATCCTCAACTGCCTTCCCGGGCCACAGGCAGGGAGCTGGAAGGGAAGCGGGGCCGCCGGGATAGAACCGGCGCCCATATGGGATCCCTGGCATGCAAGGCAAGGACCTTAACCACTGCGCCACCGCGCAGGGCCCCAGAATTTTCTACTTGATACAGAAACTGAATCTTTAGAGCTACTGAAA